CTAGTTCAAATCTTATCAAGTATTTCAAACAAAATCTGCTCTCCACTATTCAAAGATAGACTTTATTCAAATAATGTACAAAGGTCTACATTTTCTTACCAAACAATTTGACTTTTGAGTGTTGTACTCAAAGAGTCTTGAAGCAGTAAACAAACAACCNCCAAATACCATATACTCTTAAGTAATTTTCATTACCTCACTTTTACAAAACTATTTTACTACTTCAACAAGTGCAAAAACAGAAAATTTAACATTTCAAACTTTAAAAACTAATGCTAAAATAATTAATAATAGACAAAAATAAAATCTGAAAATTAAAAAAAAAAAAATTAGCCATGAAAAAAAATAGTATTTTACCATTTTACACATCAAAAGGCCGAAAAATGGTGGTATGCCAAAGAGGGTGTTCCAGGAGGTCGCCGGAATTAGGCCGGATTTTGGTCGCCAGATTTTTGGGGTAGAATTGACATCAATAGCTAGGTCTTGAGGAGATTTATCCATTGATATAGGTATTTTGGGGTGGTAGTGGTTGGGGCTTCAAGAATTTGGGCAAAAAAGTGACGGGAAAGTTTCCTAGATCTAAGATTCAAGGAGTTTGAGGGATTTTTTTAGGATTTGGTTTGGAGATATGGAAAGAGGAAGTTGTGGAGATTACGTGGCGTGAATTTGGAGGTGTTTGGAGGTGGTCCGCCGGCGGCGGCAATTTTCGGCAGGCGGCGATAGGCGGAGCTGGGGCGGCGTAGAGAGAGTGAAGAGACAGAGAAAAGAGAAGAAGGAGAGGGAAAGAAGAGAGAGGAAATAAGGGGGAAATGGGGCAAATTTTGGGGGATTTTAGGCTTTAAATACCTAGGATGAAGATCAAACTAGGATCGTTGGATTAAATCAAGATGGGTGGATGATATTGAATCTTGTCACTTAACCAAAACGACGTAGTTTCAAGACAAAACTACGTCATTTTAAGCTCTTCTTGGCAACCCCCTTTTGGACCGGATTTGGGTTCCTTGGGCTCAAATTTTGGGCCAATTTTGGCACAATTTTAATTAAATTATACTAGCTCAATTTGTACCCCGTTTATCAAACCATTACTCAATTCTTAAAACCTATACATACTTAAATAAGAACAAACACATACACACACATACATATATATATACACACACATACATATATATATACACACACATACATATATATATATATATACACACACATACATATATATATACACACACATACATATATATNTCAGTTGTAAAACATTCCTCCATTAGAATTATGTTGGTTTTGGTAGCACAGTTGGATCTGGAACTAGTTCAGATGGATGTAAAAACTGCGTTTTTACATGGAAACTTGGATGAGGAAATCTACATGACTCAACCAGAAGGATTCAAAGTTGCTGGAAAAGAAAATATGGTATGCAAACTTGAAAAATCATTGTACGGATTGAAACAATCTTCTAGATAATGATACAAGCGATTTGACAAGTTTATGTTGCGGCAAGGGTACAAAAGAAACAAATACGATAATTGTGTGTATTTGCGCAAGCTTGAAGATGGTTCCTTTGTATATCTTCTCATATATATTGATGATATGTTGATAGCTTCCAAGAATTCGGAAGAAATTGATAAGTTGAAGATTCAACTAAAGAAGGAGTTCGAGATGAAGGATCTGGGTGATGCAAAGAAAATTCTTGGCATGGAGATAATAAGAGATAGGCATTCAAAGAAACTATGTTTATCTCAAAAGGAATATTTGAAGAGAGTACTACAACGTTTTGGCATAAATGAGAAGACTAAGTCAGTTAGTACTCCCCTTGCTCCCCATTTTAAGCTAAGTACTACTATGTCGCCAAAAGATGAAGCTGAGCAGGAGTATATGTCAAGAGTACCATACGCAAATATTGTTGGTAGCTTGATGTATGCAATGGTCAGTACGAGACCTGACATTTCACAAGCTGTTGGAGTTATTAGCAGATATATGCATAATCCAGGAAAGGAGCATTGGCAAGCTGTGAAGTGGATTATACGGTATATTCATAACACTATAGATGTTGGGTTAGTTTTTGAGCAAGAAGGCAATCAATCTGTAGTTGGATATTGTGACTCAGATTTTGCGGGTGATCTTGACAAACGAAGATCAACTACTGGTTATGTGTTTACTTTTGCAAAGGCACCAGTTAGTTGGAAGTCTACTTTGCAGTCAACAGTTGCTTTGTCTACAACAGAGGCAGAGTACATGGCTATTACAGATGCTGTGAAGGAGGCAATTTGGCTTCAGGGGTTGCTAAAAGAGCTTGGCATTGGACAAAAAAGTATCACAATTTTTTGTGATAGTCAAAGTGCTATTCAATTAGCGAAGAACCAAGTTTATCATGCAAGGACGAAGTACATTGATGTTCGGTATCATTTCGTACGAGAAATCATAGAAGAAGCTGGAGTCACAGTGAACAAAATTCATACGAAGGAGAATCCTACTGATATGCTGACAAAAGTGGTGGCTGCGGTCAAGTTTCAACATTGTTTGGATTTAATCAACATTGTTGAACATTGAAGATTGAAGATGAAGACGCAACCAAATTTGTTATTGAGAGAAAATTGAAGATGTGAAATTTTGCCAAGGTGGAGATTTGTTGAAAATGTGAAAAGTCCCACATCGGTGGGTGACATATTTGGTTGGGATTTTTTCCCTATAAAAGGAGGCCTAATGTTTAGGATTTATATACACCTCTCATTTGCCTTCTTATCTTCTTAAGGCATTTGTATCTTCTCTCTTTAGTATTATTTCACTTGTATTTTTGGAGTGGAATAAAATATTGGTTGTGTCCGAGGAAGTAGGCAAAATTGGCCGAACCTCGTAAATTCTGGTGTTCCTTTTATTGTTACTTTATTGTCTTATTTATTATGTGGTGGCTGTCATAAATTTTGGTATAATAGCTGTGACTCATTCACACTATATACATTTGGCTTCCGCAACATGTAGTAATACTAATTTTGGAGGCCTGAAACATCTCGGAGCCAAAAGCAAGTTCTTGACTTGCTTGGATGTGTCGGTTGCTTTGCTTCATAAAGTGGAGGGGGTGATTTTGCAAGAAGGAAACTATTCTGGGTTAAATTTAATTTAATGAAATTCAGAAGGAAGCTTTTAGTCTTTATAGTATGTAAATTTCAATTATTTCAACGTGTTAAAATGTGATTTTGTGATTATACTGCGTAAAATTTAGAGATTTCACAGTTATATTGAGATTTCTTTAATGAATACTAGTTCTGTTACTTTACAGTTATTCTGTGACCATAAGTATATAATCATGTTTCGAACTTATATGTCCCACCTAGTTCACCTATTCAATTGGGGCGAAAAGATTTTTCTACGCACCTCTTTAGATGGCTTTAGTATATGGTTTGTGGCAGAGGAGTACTCAATTGCGCCAATTTGAGTTGACTTTTTTTTTGGGCTAAGAAAGCTTTGATTAAACATAATTAAGATACAACGGTTGACCCATGATATAACGCTATGGCTGATAATAGGTGAATTTAACTATAATTAGGCCCTAAATAACCACCTTCTTGTATAGTTTGGATGATAAAAGTGATAACAAAATGTTCTTATTAGTATTTTACATGCTTTGCAGGTTATATATGACCAGAGAAGGCTATGGAGTACTTTTGGGATCAAATATGGAGAAAAAGAGGCCGATCGTAAAATTCCGTCAAGTAAACCACGCGAAACAGCTCAAGTCAGAACTGAAAGAGGACTGTCGCGGTTCCACCGCGACCGCGGCAGAACCGCGGTAGAAGATGGCTGCAGACAAAGTGAGAATCAGAGAGCATGTTTGGCCGCGGTTTGACCGCGACCGCGGCAGAATCGCGGCGGAGGCGGAGAACCTCAGGGACTAAAGTGCAAAACACTGAATTTTTAGCCCAAAACCCTATTTTAAACATTAGACTTCACCCAAGAGAGGCAGGTATTGATTTGGAGAGTATTTTGGCAAGGAAAAACAATTGTGAGAGATCACCCAAAATATTTTTCTTCTTTTCTTTGATTTTTCTTGCAAGTTTTATGATGAATATTGTTTTAGTTTGTTTACCCATAGTTATGAGTAGCTAAATCCTTTGTCTAAGGTTTTGATGGAACCTATTGGGGGATGAACTTCTTGTTTATGTGAATACAAATTGCTAGTCTCAATCTTTATTTGTTCAACTTTGTGCATGTTGTAGTTAATTGACAGGATCCTCAATTAGCTGTGCCTATTTAGTGTGCATAACTCGGGAGAGAGTGCATATTTAGGTTATTGTTGAACAACACCACTCCCAAAGTATAAGAGGGATCTATAACTACGGGTTTAAAGGCGGGATTAGGGATAACGAAGCGTTGAGTGCAATCTAAAGTGAACCGTGTTAATTAGAGCTAGCTAATGTATCTCGGAAGAGTGCATTGAGTATATTACTGTGATTACTCGGGAGAGATTTACGGTAAGATGAGCGTTCATGATTGATAAAGAGGTGTTGGTCAATTTGTATGAAGCATAAACAGAAGGGATTCCATCAATATGGGAAGTCATTATCATGCTTCGTGATGAACGAGGTCTTTTCCCCGTCCTCGGGGTTCATCTGGATTTGATTATACCCCGAGTAGGCATCGAGAAAAGTGAGGGTTTCGTGGCCGGCCGTAGAATCGATCAGACGATCGATATTAGGCAACGGGAAAGAATCTTTGGGGCACGCTTTATTCAAATCTTTGTAATCTACGCACATTCTTAGCTTGTTCCCCTGTTTTGGAACTACTACTACGTTAGCTAGCCATTCGGGGTACTTTACCTCCCTAATGGATCCAATTTTAAGAAGTTTCGCTACCTCCTCTTTGATGAAGGCATGTTTTACCTCGGACTGCGTCTTCTTTTTTGCTTTACGGGTTTGAATTTGGGATCAACGCTCAGCCTCTGGGAGGTTATTTCCGGCGGGATTCCTGTCATATCTAGGTTGGACCAGGCGAAACAGTCGATATTGTTTCTAAGAAATTGAATAAACCCTGTCCTGAGTTCGGGGGTCAGCCCCGTCCCTAGGTATACCTTGCGATCCGGGAGGTGCTCAATCTAAACGGTTTGCTCCAGCTCTTCGACTGTTGATCTGGTCGCATCCGATTCCTCGGGGGCGACGAAGGTTCGGGGGACGAAGAAGTCTTCCTCGTCGTCTTTGAGGGTCTGCATGCTTCCCTCCTTGTCTGAGACTGGGCGTGTGGAGGCTGGCGTCTCATGGTGGACCGCATACATTTCTTTTGCTGCCCGCTGTTCTCCATGTATGGTCGTGATGCCATCNTCAACTGGTGGGGCATTTTTGAGCAAAACTTGGAGAGAAGGTCAGAGTCTGCTTGACAAAATGGCTCAGAATTCAGGGTGGACGACGAGGAATGCATCTATCACTCCAGTGGTGCACTCAGTGCCTTTTAACCCATCAAATTCCATGGCTGAAAATGTGGCGACCCTCTTGACACAGATGAGCATACTCACCAAAAAGTGGAGGAATCAGGGCAGAAACACCAAGTGCACATTGTAGATACTACCAATGGGGGCTTGTGCACATCTTGCATTAGTCAGCCAGTTGGTAATCCTTGGAATGCAGAACATGATCATCATCATCAGCACCCTGAAGACATGAACTTTGTGTCAAACTATGGAGGCCAGAGACAGGGCAATCAGAACTGAGGTCAGCAAACTCAGCAGCCATACAGACCACCTCAGCCACAGTACAATGCTGTAAGCATGGGAAGTATGAGACCTCCCAACAATGGCACCTTATCCAAGGCCACAGTGGTACAACAATCAGCAGCAAGGGTATCCCCCACCTCAGCAACAACATGGTGGAAGGCAAGAAG